GAGCAGTTAGAACTAAGTATCCAGGCTATTGACAGTAAGAGAATCCCAGTATGATGTAGGTATTGCACATCCTTAGGAAAAAGTACAGCCTCATGATATTTTGATAACGATGGAAACAACACCTTTGTAAAATGGTAGAAACTTAAAGAATTGTGCAGCCAAGCAAATCTTGTTATAGGCTTGCTTACTGGCTTTTAAAAGTGGGAGAGTTGGAGGTAGTTATGGTTTCCATGGTATATTCTGCCAGCGATGGCTGTGTTTGAGCATCTGCCACGGAGAGCCAGCGGTCTGTGCCAAGTTCCGCCTTACCCTCACCTAGTCTCCCCTCGGAGAGCAGCGCCCTGGGTCGTGCTGCTGATTGATTCTCACGGCAGCTTCTGATTGATTCTCACGGCAGCTTCCCAGGAGGAGTGACGTCCAGGCTTACAGAGGTGGAACCTGAGTTTCCAGGAGGCAAAAATATCCCCGAGGTCTCAGGTGTAGGTGGTGCCAGGTCTGTCATGCAGTGTCCCCCATGGTCAGCCTCCTGAAACCCAGTAGCTTGTCACTACTGTTGGATATTTTACATCCAAAGCCTCTCAGCCTCATTCAGGGATTGGAAATAAAACATTAAGTAACTGTTGGGGGAATGGTAACGGGGATCTGGAAGATCTCAGATTCAGTGTTATTCCTCTGCTTGGAAGAGTTATTAGAGTTGTGTTTGGATATTCTCATTTTCTCCCTTGCTTATGAGGTAGGATTGCTCTTTCTTGTCCCCTGTGAAGGTAGGTATGGCCATGTGGCTTGTTTTGTCTAAAGCAGTGATTCCCAAAGTGGGTGCTACCGCCCCCTGATGGGCGCTGCAGCGATCCAGGGGGGGGCGGTGATGGCCACAGGTGCATTTGTTTTAACTTTTTTGTATTACCTTTCTATTCTGAGTTCAATAAATAGTTTCATAATTTCAAACTTCAATGTTTCTAATTTACACCTTTCTTTACTATATTTTATGAAAACGGTAGAAACATTAATACATATATATTTTTGTTTAATTGCTATTAAAATTTTAAAAAAATTAATTTCCAGGGGGCACTGAGTAATATTTTTTCTGGAGAGGGGGCGGTAGGCCAAATAAGTTTGGGAACCACTGGTCTAAAGGAATAGTAGCGGAAGTAACCCCTGGGTCCTTCCGGCAGAGGTTCCTATAGCAGGTGTGAAATGCAGATTGTCCCAGCACAAGTGGGTGTGTGGGGGGGGTAGGGGCGGGAGGAGCCTCCCTCTGCCTGGCCCCAGGTCCCTGAGCGACTGTGGTGAGCAAAGCCCCTGCCAGCTCAGCCTGGATGAGGAGATGAGCAGAATGTGCAGCAAAGAGACTCTGGTTGTGTTAAGCCCCTGAGATTTTGGAACTCTGTATCTGCTGCATATTCTAGTTCAGCGGTTCTCAACCTGTGGGTCACGACCCCTTTGGGAGTCGAACGACCCTTTCACAGGGGTCGCCTAAGACCATCGGAAAACACATATATAATTACATATTGTTTTTGTGATTAATCACTATGCTTTAATTAATCACTATGCTTTAATTATGTTCAATTTGTAACAATGAAATTGGGGGTCACCACAACATGAGGAACTGTATTAAAGGGTCACGGCATTAGGAAGGTTGAGAACCACTGTGTTAGTTCACTGTGGCTGATTCAACAAATTAAAGAACATAACATGCAAAGTGGAAGTTCACCGAGAGTTTCCAGTAGAGACATTCTTGCAGGAGACTCTCTTACCATGTCTAAAATATTAAAACGAAAAGCCCGGAGAACAGCTTTGCTGCATGAAAGTGTGGAAGCCAGAGCAGTATTAAATTCCCGGGATGGTTGGATAACCATCTCATTCTGTGACATTATTTTTGTCCTTCTATATTGCAAACGTTGGTCCACCAAGAAATGTTTGTTCATTGTTCTTGCACTAAAGAAAATAATGTGACAGGTAAGGAAGGAGGAGGAAATTGGTGGTTGGGAAACCAGAGGACACAGGGAACAGTGACACCTTTATCCAGGCAGCACCGAGAGAACAATAACGGTTTTACTCTTAATTTCTGTTGCAAGAGGAGCGTGCGTTAAAGACAGTTCTTCTATTACATTTAGTATCTTGTTTCTAGCCTGGAGTTGCAGGCATAACCCGGCTTTAAATTCTGCTTTGCCTTGCAGTTACTCTGTTGAGTGTGTGAAAAGTCTTTGTTTATTCATGATGGCTTGCACTTATATCTCACTCTACAGACAATAAACTCCATTTTTAACGATCAAAGCCACGGTTTTAGAAACTGAGAGCTGTTGCAACTTGACAAGGGAAATTTTCCTACATTTCCCCTAGAGTTGGAATAAGATAAATGACAATGGATACTGAGGAGTTTATTAGATTTCAGGAAATTTGTAAGATTCAGAATATTGGTGATCTGCCATATATTTACACTGCCTAGTTTAATCTTCGACCCAACATCAACTTTCATTTGATATCCCATTTGTTATATTACTATTTAAACATTTCTCTGACATAAACTTCATTGAGATAAAAGGAGGCATTGTCTCTTAAACTAGGGTCAAACAGTGTCACACCGTTTATTATTAGGAGTACTAATAATTGCAAAATTTTTATGCTTTTAGCATAGGAATAATAATTTTCCAGTATTTGGGTCTTTTAAGATGTAACATGTATGAGGTCATTTTTGTCATTTTAATATTCTTCTCGAGAATATCGTAACTAATATCAACTATAGAGATGATCTAGTTCAGGAATCCTTGTTTCCTTGGAAGGGAATCTTCTTCAAACATTACCTGACGTGGCATTCAGAATGCAATGCAGATTCCTAAAACATTAAATTTTATCATTTCAAACGTACTTACTATTGGGTCCATTGGTGAGGGGGAAACTACTCTTTTGAACAACAAAAAGACTTCATTTAAAGGGGCCTTGGCCTTCACTTTGTATTTTGTTTCGTGTGGCAAGTATTTGAATTACATGGTAAGTGGCTGCAAGTGGTAACAGTTTTTATGGGTGTGTTTTACAAGGTGCACTCTTAATCCTTAGGAAACTCCAGTTTTGTAGGACCACAGAAAGTTAATGTAGTAGCACAGGTTAATGAAATGTAAAACTGGTGAGCTTGAGTGTTGTTTTTTAAATCTAGCTTTACGGTAGTTAACAAAAAAAATTACAGAATCCCCAAATTGCATAGAATAACATTTGAAAACTACTAATTATGCTCTATGTAACAGTATCTCTAGTATAGTTTCTGGTTGTACTATTTATTTTTTTAGAAAAATTGTCGAATATTGGAGAAAATGTGAAAATATCTCCCATTGAAAAGAGTTAGGTTAGCATGACTTAAATACTTATTAAAAAATAAGGTATGTACTGGAAGTTGCAGAAATTTTTTTTAAATTTCCATTTTACACAATAGTAAGAATGATTGCTAGCTCAGCTCACAAATCATTTATCCCATAAGTGACTTAAGTAATAATATTTTGCTATCTTTTGATTATATATGCACTTTTAAATTAGCTTGGCATTCTATTTGTGTTTTGTTTTGTTTTTAAATTCTCATCAAGGGATGTGTTTATTGACTTTAGAGAGAGAAAGGAAGGGGGAGAGAGATATCAATTGATTATAGGCACCCCGACCAGGGGTGGAACTCCCAACCTAGGTATGTGCCCTGACCGGGAATTGAACCCACAACCTTTTGGTGTGTGGGACAATGCTCCAACTAAATGAGCCACCTGGCGAGGGCTAGCTTGGCATTCTAAAGATCCTCATGGCTATTTCAGTGGGCTTTTTAAAACTCTGATTTGTAGCCCAGGATTGGAAACTTTCCACTCCCACTGTGTGGTAGCTAAGGAGAGTGAGGTCTTTTTATTCCCTGGTTGGAGAATTTTTATCCATGTACGAACACAACTACTGTCTCCTCTTTGAAGAAGAATCATAGATCCCAGTGTTTGAAAGGAATTCTGAAGGTGGCCTACTTTGGTTCTGTGCTTTTACGTACATGGTTTTGTAAAGCTGTGCAAAGAGGAAACTTTCCAAAAGCAAACACATTTGGCACTCCTTTAGCAAGCTGGATATTTAAAGGAACCCGTGGCAAATACTTTTGCAAGACAAATGCTCCTCTAAGGTGGCATCTGGGTAGTGGGAAAGCTCCTGGGGCTTTATTATTATTTTTAAAATATATTTTTGTTGATTTCAAAGAGGAAGGGAGAAGAAGAGAGATAGAAACATTAATGATGAGAACCATTGATCGGCTGGCTCCTATACGCCCCCTCCGAAGGATTGAGCCTGCAACCCTGGCATGTGCCCTGACCAGGAATCAAACCGTGACCTCCTGGCCCATAAGTGACACTCAGCCACTGAGCCACGCCCACCTAGCAGCTCCTGGAGTTTTAAAAAGCCTTTGGAACTCTGCTGCATTCCCCCCACTGATGACAGTAATTAGCGCAATGGGTCCTCCTTGAGGACAATGCCCAGTCTCTAAGCAGCCAGTGGCCTCAGTCCCCCTGTGATCCACTCGGTGGTGCCAGGCATTCCTCTGTGGACTGGCAGGCATCTCAGACTGCCACCAGCTTCATATTAAATTCGGCACAATGACTATAGGCTGTTTGGCACCAAAGTTAAATTGAGAACTACAAATGAGAGCGTTATCACCAGTGATTTCTCATGCCACTTCCAGCTGACGAGTCTAGGAAACAAGCCTAGCACGAGGATTGCTTGTGGGTTTGTATGTGGAATTACATAAGCAGTTGTTGTGCGTCAAAAATTGACGCGGAGGGTTGCTGTGAGGTCTGAGGGTGGTCCCTGTAAAGTATAGGAGCATGGCATGGAGTGTGTAGTAGTTGCTGTACTAATTCTTAGTCATTTTTAATATTATTATTGTTTTGAAGTCTTATTATGCCTAGGAAAGTGTTACCAGAAACAGTCAATAAAGAGGAGTAAAGACATTCTGGTTCCTAACGCCCTTTCTCTGTCCTGCCCTGTGCCCTCTGCAGAATGTGATAAGCTGCGGCGGGATGGCTACCGGAGCTCTCAGTACTACTCCCAGGGACCCACCTTCGCCAGCTCCGGTCCACCCAGCGATGAGTATCAAGATGAGGATGATGAAACAAATCAGAAGGTAAGGCTTCTAAATTCAACATGGGGTCCCAGAACAGAAAAAGGATGTAAGTGGGAAAACTGGTGAAATTAGAACAAAGTGTGTGTGCTTTTTAGTTTAATAGTATTATCCCAAGTAAACTACTTAGTTTTGATAACTGTGCCGTGGTTTTGCAGCACATCAACATTAAGGGAGACTGGGTAAGGGTACACAAGGAATTCTCAATACTATCTTTTAAGTTTTCTCGAAAGCTAAAATTAGCCTGGAAAAAAAATAGTTCCTGATCCAAAGAAGTTATTAAAGGAGCATAATCAATATATTTGTGCATTTTGAATACTCTCTTTTGGGTAAAAGAAATAAAGAATCTTATTTCTGTTGTTTTGCTTTTTTCATGTGACCAAGAACCTAGTGAGATGACAAAGAAGAGCTCTAAGTATAGCAGCAAAAAGCCATTGTTTCACAAGTGGGCAGGGCTCTTAGGTGGATCCAGCATGGGCAGTGCTTCTACTTAATATGATAGCGCTGGGCAATTCGCTTTCATGATGCTGTTTCGTATCTGCATTCCTTTTTCTCACGCCATCCTCTGTGATATGTGCAAACTACTTAAGACAAATATATCTCTCAGCACTAAATAGACACGAAAGAATAAAAATGTATGGAGATTTTTTAACTTACATAGTTTTATTTTTCATTTTATTAAGGAATGTTGACTGACACAAATTACCTAAACAAATAAGGTTTGATGAACAGGGTTTGCTTTAAAAACCATTTTAAATTAACTTAAGAAATTTCAGTGGAATTTAGGTCAATACATCAAAGTCTTATTGTTTGGAGAACATTATTTAGAATTTATTATCCTCTCTCAAATAAGTAACATCAGAGAAAAAAAGTAGATAACAGTTGTTCAAAAATAGAAAATTACCACCTTAAATTTTTGGTTTTCTAATGAAGATTGGAAACAGGTTTTTATTACAGAATTAGAGGCCCAGTGCACGAATTCATGCACCAGTGGGGTCCCGCAGCCTGGCCTGCAGGATTGGCCAAAATCGGCTCTCCAACATCCCCTAAGGGGTCCCAGATTGCGAGAGGGCACAGGCCAGGCCGACGGACCCCACCGGTGCATGATCAGGGCTGGGGAGGGATACAGGAGGTTGGCCAGCCGGAGAAGAACCACAGGAGGGCTCCAGGGCGTGTCTGACCAGACCCCAATAGCAAGCTAACCTACCGATCGGAGTGTCTACCCCCTACTGGTCATGCACATCATAGCAACTGGTCGACTATCTGCCCCTGATGGTCAGTGCAAGTCATAGCAAGTGGTTGAGCGGCCTTAGCATATCATTAGCATATTATGCTTTGATTGGTTGAACGGCTGACCAATCAACCAGACACTTAGCATATTAGGCTTTTATTATATAGGATGTCTTTCCTATTTCTATAAAGGTGTTTAGACATATTAGGTTAATCCTTTGAAACTATAAAATACACTAAGAAAGTTTCTTACTATAATAGGAAAGCAGTTATTTCAAAGTTGATCTGGTCTTTAATTTTAAAAGCCTATTTTTTTTCTCTGTTGATATAAGTAAGAAAAATAAAAAAATCAGAAGATGAATTATATCATGAGGGTGTTGTTTTGATTTAAAATTTTTTACAGGTTCATTGAAGTATAATTGACAAATAAAATTGTATCTAGTATGATGATTTGACAAAAGTATACTTTATGAAATGATCATCACACTTAGGTTAATGAACACATCCACCCCTCACATAGTTACCGTGTGTGTGTGTGTGTGTGTGTGTGTGTGTGTGTGTGAGAGAGAGAGAGAGAGAGAGAGAGAGAGAGAGAGAGAGAGAGAGAGATGAGAGCGCTGAAGGTCTATTCTCTTAGCAAATTTCAAGTACACAGCACAGTATTATGTACTGGAGTCACCATGCTGTACATTAGATCCCAAGGAGCTTGCTCATCGCAGACTGAAGGCCCGTACCCTTTGATCAGCATCTGTCCATCTCCTTCACCTGTGAGATTTTACTTTATTTTTTTTTTTTTACCTGTGAGATTTTAAAAATCTAGATATACTTTTAGCCTTTCTGTGGTGCTCAGGGAAGGGGAGCATTTAGTTTACAGTGGGACCCGGAGAGACAGGTGGTTTCTGGGTGCAGCCTAGTGAGTATGCAGAGTCCCCGGTGGCAAATCGGCATTCCAAGACCACATTCTAAGATCTTCCTGGGAAATGGAAGGGTAGTTTCTAAGTTCTCACACAGCTGTTTAGTTCCCAGATGCTCACACCTGAGAGAAGTTCAGTCTCTGTGAACGAGTTTCTACTCTTACGTGCATTGCCACGGACCCCTCCAAGCAGCCTCTCCCAGACGTGTGAGAGTGTGGACAGGTCATTGGCCCTTAGAAAACAAGGCTCCTGTCCTGTTGGAAATAAGTCAGGGATAATGATTACACACACAAACACGCGCACGCACACACGACATGGCATGTCCTAGTAAGCATAAGAAGTACCTTATTCTATCATTTCTCGGCAATTTAACATCTGATATGGATTTTTTGAGCAGGGAGATGGAATAGGAGCTTGCTCCATCCACAAATTTCAAGCCTTAGCTCTTCCACTTGTTTGTACCTCGCTCTCCCTCTCCCTTCCTCTCTAAAATCAACAAAAACATATTTTTTAAAAAGAATAAGATCTATATGAAAAAATTCAAATACTATAGAAGACCACAAATAAAATTTGAATAAATGAAAAAACATATGCTCTGAGATTAGAGGACTCAATATCAAAAAGCTCTCAAATCTGCCCATGTTAATTTATAACATTAACACAATACCAATAACAACTTGAGCAGTTGGTTTGTTTTGGTTTGGAGTTATTTGGGGGGTGGAAGGAGGAGGGAGGGACTGAAGAGGCTGATCTGAGGTTCATACCTGGACAAGCTGTGCAACTGAAGAGCAGTGAGGAAGGAAGAGTGGCCATGTGCTGACCCATGGAGTCAGGAATTACTCCAGTGTGGCCTCTGAATGTACAGACGAGTAGGACCAAACATTAAAAACAGTATGTAAAGTTCAGAAATAGACCCTAGTCTGCATGGGATTTAGTACATGATCAAGTTGGCACTTGAAATCAGGTGGGAATCCAGTAACTATAAAGGGCTCCCAGCCAGCAGTTTATGGTCTCCATGTTAAGACCAAGGCCCCTAACTACAACTCATGTTCTTAGTAGTGGCTCTAACAGTTGGGGTCATTGTTAAGTACAGAGTCTGTAGAAGTCAGATTGGAGGGAAAATTCTATTGGGAAAACCCTTCTTTGTATTTCCTAGATAGGCATGGGGATGGAGATGAAAGGTGAGACCAGTGGACTGTCTGTAGAAGGGACACATGAGTTAAATGTTAGGCTACAGATGCTCTGACATCAAAAGCGGTGCTTAGAACAAAAGCATTACTCGCATTCAACAAATACTAAGCATTTGTTATGTGTTTAGGACAGAAGCCCTATCCTAAAATGAGAGTTGCTAATAAGGTGAAGGTTAAGAACATATAAGTTAGAACAGAGAACCTAGAAGACATCTGTTCTGGTTATTTATTCTGGATAATTATTTTAGAATAATAAATGCAAAGCATTTGCCAAGTAAACCTCAAGTTTATGGTATGAAGAAAGGTATTTTGCTAATGATATCCATATATATCTTTCAAAGTGGTGATGTAGTGTGACAAGAAAAAATTGTTTGAAGTGTTTTCAACTATGTATGTTCTGTACATCATCTAAATATTAAACATGCTGCATGAAAAATGCTGTCTCAAAGGGATGTAGGAATCCACAAAATACTTTTTATTCATCCACAAAATCAGAGAGTAAATCATTACTTTAGTGTTGTTCTAGTCTTGACATTTCTGTTCTGTTCTTTCAGTTGTCATTGTGTGCCAGGTACTACTAAAGAGGTTATTCAGGTATTTGAAGGAAGTTCAGCTATAGATGCCAAAATACATCCTGAGTTGATAGGGCATTTCTCCAACTGCCATTGTCGGAGGTTATATTTGATGATATGTTCACCGAGTCACAGAAATGTTCATAGAGGCCCCATTGTCTCAGCAGAAAGCATGTCAGTCACGAGTTACTCAATCTCTTGTGTAAAATTCACCCCCAAACAGATAAATGAGGCTGGATTATGGCAATAAACAGTTGGCTTTAATAGTATTGATAGAAACTGAAGTTTTCTTTCCTATTTCCTGTTATTCTTTGAACTGGCATCTCGGGGTCTGTTTTAGCCTTCCATGATAAGAGATATTTGAATCAAAGGAGGACTTTGAAGAATACAAAGGATAGCAGCCTTGCTCTGTGACTGCAAATGCTGGAGGCTTACATAACATGATGCCTGAGAGTGCTGGTCTGGGCCAGCTTTCCCACCTGTCCGTGGGGGCGGTCTTAGCTAAATTGCTCGTGAGCTTCAGTTTCCTCAACTGTAAAGAGTTATAAACCACATGTTCTGGTTTTCTCAGGACAACCCTGGTTTACAACTGCTGTCCTGTGTAATTATTAATAGCACCACCTTCACGCTCAAAGGCAGTCAATAAAAGAATAGATCAACCAGAGGACTTGTATGCATGCATATAAGCCTAACCAATAGACACAGACACCAGGGGGGTGAGGGCATGAGTGCGGGGGGTGGGGGGGAGAGTGGGGGGATAAGGACACATATGTAATACCTTATTAATAAAGAAAAAAAAGAATGGATAAATAAATGTGATATTAGAATGCAGTGTGTACCCCAGTGAAACCAGTGAATTGCAGGCTTACAACAATATGCATGTGTCTTAGAAACATAATAACAAGTAAATAAGTAACAGTGCAAAGAGCATGATACCATTTTTATAAAAGTCCAAATAAATATAAACATCTAATTTAGGCATATTTATACACACTTATAAAAAAAAAGGAAGGGAATGATTAACACACAGTTCAGGAGAGTGGTTACCTCTGGGGAAGCAGGGAGGAGCATGGAGGTGGATGCAATTACTGGTGATA